ATAAATAAAATTGTCTCAGGAAAAACATATATATTTCTGGTTTCATATGGAAGTATGTATGTAAAAATGTGCTGAATTTATTACATTTAATATAAATTAAAAGGAAAAGAACAGGTTACAGATATACAAAATAATATGGATGAACCTTTAATTTAAAACACCATGTTGAACAAGATAAGTCAGACATGAAAGAGTATATAGTGTATTATTCTACTTATATGACATTCTAGAACAGGAAAAATTAATCTAAGATGATATAAATCCTAGCAGTGCTGTCTGCGTGTGGGAGGACTTGCTTATGAAGGAGCATCAGGGAAATTTCTGGAGTATGAAGATGTCCTATATTTTGAGCAGGGTTTTGGTTACACAAAAGCATACCGCTATCAAAGCTCATTAAACTAAATGCTTAAAATGTGTGCAATATTTCATTCTAATTATGCTTCAGTTTTTTAAATTGGGAAATAAAGTATGAAACAAGTGACAGGGATTCAGCATATGTATAATTAGAGTCTTGAAAAAAGAAAAGGAAAATGATGGAACAGAGCAAATATTGAAGCTATAACCCAAAATTAATTTTCAGAAATGAAAAGACTTCTAAGAACATAACATGAACCAGGAAACATTGACCAAATAAGTCATACCCTGAATATGCTCTAGTAAGGTTATGGACTCAAAAAATGAAGAACATCCAAGTTAAAAAGTTCATGTCGTGTATAAGGGGGAAAAAACAAAGATGAGACAATTCTGAAAGTCTTTCTCAGACTCCTTCTAAGATGGCACGAAGCCTCTGCTGGAACCAGAGTGAAGTTCAACATTTCCCTCTGCCTGCTCCTGCTTTGCTAAGTTTCTTATACTTCCTAAGTGTAAGTGTATTCCTAAGTGCTCTCTCCCACAGACCTGCATGCAAATCTCCACCTGAGGGTGTGCTTTTAGGCAGTCCAGCCTAAGACACACCACAAAGAAAACCTCAGTTAACTCTGAAAAGTAAATAGTATCGGTAATATTCTCTGAGAAGAATGCAATAAAACTACAATCAATAACAAAACAAGAAAACAGGTCAGTACCACCTAAATATTTAAAAAGATAAAGTTCTTGCATTAAGAAGGAATTGCGAACAAATTGCAGAGTATTTTTAAACAAGTAACAATCTAGAAGTATCATAACTCATAGGATACAGCTGAAACAGTGCTCAAAAAATGTATAGCCTTACATGTTTACATTAATAAGAATAAATGAAAATAAACATCCAGTTTTAGAATTAAATAGAATCTAAAGATTATAAAATAAAAATCAATGAATTAAAAAGTAGAATTAATAAATGAATACAAGAGTAATTTGAGGGAAAAGGAATAAAATAGATTGAATCTTTAGCTTGCCTAATTATGAAAACAGAAAGTACAACTATACAAAATAACAAACGATAAGGGACAATAAATATAGACAAATGTAAATCATGGCAGAGTACTTAGCTCAACTCTGTGCAAATAAGTTTGAAAGCCTGACTGAAATGGATACTTTTCTAGGAAAATTATGATGTATCAAAACTCCCTCCAGAACAAATAGAAAGTTAAAACAAATTGCCAAAGAGGTACTTTCCTCTGCAATAAACACTAGGCCAAATTCAGATGAGTGCTACTACTTCAGTAAAAAAGCAGATAGATTCGGTCTCATTAAACTACTATAGAACATGGAAAGAGAAGATATCTTCCAAATAATTTAGGAAGATTGCACAAAATTAAAATGAATCAAAATTTTATTAATGTTGAAATCTTAGATAAAATATTAGTGATTACACTTCAGCAGCATAACAAAAAATAATGTGACACCAAATGGAGTTTATTCTACCTATGCTAGTATAATTCAATACTAAGAAAATTAGTAAGAATCCTAATAATAGATGTATGATGAAAAATCATGATAGTTTATATGGATCCTAAAATGGATTTAAGACAATTTGGTGTCCATTTTTATTAAAAAACAGATAAAATTAGTAGGTAGTTAACTATGTAAAATGATATATATTAATATTTTAAAATATATTTCTTAATATATTAAAAATATAGCTCTCAACTCAAAAGCTGACATGATCCAAGGAAGTAGAAGGACTCCACTAAAATCAGGAATGAGTCATATGTGTATCAATATTGCTATTTAATACTGTTCAGGAGAAACTTAACAACCGATGCAATAAGAAAAGAAATTAGAGGTATAAAAATTGGAAAATAGAAGATAAATTTATCAATATTTGCAGATATTATTCAGTTCCTGGAAGCTGAAGAGGTATCAGCTGAAAAACTCTTACAAGAAATAGAAAATTTCAGTGAGCTAAATAAATATCAACAATCTTTATATATACAAGCAACAAGCAACATCAAAAGCAGCTGAAAAAAAAGTAAAACGCCCAGGAATAAACATCTGTAAAGAGAAGATTTTTAAATGATCCTCAGAGACACAGAGAATTAAACAACTGGAAGGGAATACCATGGTCTTTGATTAGTAAGACTCAACATTCTAAAATGTTAACATGATGCAAATAAAATTTAACATGATTCAAATAAAATTACCAGTGAGAATGTTTAGGGGAAGGGGATCTAGACAAGCTCTCTGAAATTTATATAGAAAACCAAACAAACAAAAATTACCAAGAAAAATCTGAAAAGAAGGATAATAAGAGGGAGATACCCTGCCCAGATGTTAACATTTATTATAAAGCCTCACTAGTTAAAATATAGTATAAAACTTCACTAATAAAGACAGATGGAACAGACTAGAAAGTCCAGAAATTGACCTAAATGCACATGAGATCAGTGGACAAAAGACAAACTATTTAATAAGTGGTAATAGGACAACTGTTGATTTTATGTAATAATTTTATAGATGATTACAAATGGATAAAACATTTAAAACTGAAAAATAAAAACTTGAAAGTTACATTATTTGATATAAGTGTGTGTGTATAAAATTGTGGAAAATGCTTTTTAAAGTATCACACTAAATTCAAAAGTGAGAAAGGAAAAGATTTACTACATAGAAATTTTTTGTATAAATATATTTTTAGTGAAGTATAGTCAGTTTACAATGTTGTGTCAATTTCTGGTGTACAGTATAATGCTTCAGTCATACGTAAGCATACATGTATTCATTTTTCATACTATTTTTCACAAGTTACTACAAGATATTGAATATATTTCCCTGTGCTATACAGTATAACCTGTTGTTTATCTATTTTATATATAATAGTTAGTATCTGCAAATCTCAGACTCCCAATTTATCCCTTCCCACCCATTTCCCCCCAGCCCCCAGAACCATAAGTTTGTTTTCTGTCTATGAATCTGTTTCTGTTTTGTAAATAAGTTTATTTGTCTTTTTTTTTAGGTTCCACATATAAGAGATATCATATAGTATTTATCTTTCTCTTTCTAGCTTACTTCACTTAGAATGATAATTTCCAGGTCCATCCATGTTGCTGCAAATGGCTTTATTTTATTATGTTTTATGGCTGAGTAGTATTCTATTGTATAAGTATACCACAACTTCTTTATCCAGTCCTCTGTTGATGGACATTTATGTTGTTTCCATGTCTTGGCCATTGTAAATTGTGCTGCTGTAAACATTGGGGTGCATGTACCTTTTTGAATTAAGGTTCTCTCTGGATATATGTCCAGGAGTGGGATTGCTGGATCATACTGTTAAGTCTATTTTTAGTCTTTTGAAGAATCTCCATACTGTTTTCCATAACGGCTGCACCAAACTACATTCCCACCAGCAGTGTAGGAAAGGGTTCCCTGCAGAAATTTTTTAAAATATTTTTTTCTTGGCATAAAACACTATCATTACTGTCAAAAGAAAAATGCAAAGTATGAAAAAATTTAGAAATATACAACAGACAAATATAATATCCCTAAAACATGAAGAACACCTATAAATTACTAAGAAAAATAGAAAAAAATAGACAGAAGAAATGTAATCTAGTAAGGCTGATGCTCAACTTCATTTTTAATAAGAGAAATGAAACTTTAAAATACAGTGAAAAAACAATCCACTTAAATGTTTTGCTAGTGGCATGGAGAAACAAGTACTTTCATATGTTCTTAGTGAGAAATAGTAGCTTTCAAAATTACGGTTATACATACCCTTTGGTCCAGCAATTTCACTTCTAGGTCTGTGTCCTAGAAATGCAATACACACACGCACATACACACACACACATACACGAGCACCATTATTTATTGTAGCATTCCTTAAGTTGGGAAAAGATTGAAAACAGCTCAGACAACTAGCTAGCCTGCTCTTAGCCCGCAAAGCTGGGCACTGGGCTCCAGAGCTTTGTCCACCCAGAGTAACGGCTGCCTTTTTCTTATGCACACATAGGCATGTGTTCTCAAAGGGAGAAATTAAAAACTCTTGTGGAAGCAAACCTAGACTTTTTATGATTTTTTTCAATCCTTTATTGTTGTCTTACCCACACATAATTTAATTGCACTCTTTACCCAACTGTCTTTATCAAATCCTTCTAAAGATTTTGATCCAGTTTTAATAAAATAGCAACAACTCTCTTCCTGCAGTTATGTTTCATTAGCTTATGCAATAATTAAATTAATTATGTAAATAACCTGTTACGACTAACAGACACACTTAGGAATAAACAGATCTGACAATTGGCATCTGCACAGCTGGTGGGAGTAGCTGTGATCTGGCACGATGATAAGTAGACTGCTTGCTGCAAGTATTCACCAACCAAGATAGCAGTTGGTGACTCTGAAAAAAAGATTGGAGAGATTTGGTTAATCCAGCAAGTTGGTTAAGTGGTCATTTAAGAGAGCTTTTTACTGCGTACTGACAATAAGTGAAGAGCAATCCATTATGTTCCAATATAAATAAAATCAGAGTAATCCTAATAAAAAATGATTTGCTAGTGTCTTCACATTTTTATGTTATGACTGCTTTCTTTTCATTTATGACTTCCATATGAGCCCACATTCTTTCCAATATGTTGCAGGCTTTGGTCAGAGAGTTACAAAATGATGTCCATTCGATAAGGCGACAAATGAGAGAGCTTAAAAAAATGCAGAAAAACAGGGATGCTTGTAAAACCTCAACCCATAAAGCCCAGACCTTGGCAGCTTCTATCCTGAACATTTCACGGTCAGATCTAGAGGAAATATTGGACACAGAAGACGAAGAGGTAAGATCACTTAAATATTTATTAATAAAGGGCTTTTTATACATTGAGTTTAAGTACATATTTTTATTTGTTTTAAAATTCTTAGAATTTCATCTTTAAGGTAATATTAATGAAGGTAAGATTATTAATGCACAATGAAAGTTACATCAAAACTATTAACCAACTCAAAAAAACCTTTAGAGAAATTTAACTATGCAATACAGAGGTAAACTTGTACATTATCACCTTTAGAACTGCTTGTTTGTTACTCAAGTCAGTTATCCTTTCCTGTTTCCTTCGTTTTCTTTGGTTAATCATATATCTTGTAAGCTAGTATTTTTAAGTAAGCCAGTTTGAATGGATTTAGTTAGCTGGGTCACCATTGATTTGAAGATTTCTCCTCCTATATGAGATTTTTTAAAGATCTGTAAATATATTGGCTTTTCTAGCTAAATTCAAAATTATCATTGATCAAGTTTAAGAAAAAGATATTTATTGCTTTAAATTGGGTAAAATACTCCTGTCTGAGTGAATTTATGTGTATATGGGTGTAGGTCTTCAGCAGCATTTCTGTACCTCCTGGGGAGGGCACTGCATTTTTGATGGTTATTGCCTCATAAACAGCAGAATCTCATCTTACACACAGTCTTCTGTGAAACCTGCGAAGGATATTCAGCCCTATTCTGCTGTTAAATCTCTGAATGTCAATACATAAATATTAGATTTTTATTGTTTAGAAAGATTAAAGAGATGATACCACTTTTAGCTTCCCCATAAATATTTGCTCAATGAATGAATAAAATGATAGACTGAAATATTTGTATGAGAACATCCTTCAACACCGCTCCCATCAGCTTCTCAAAAATTCCTGGAGTAGAGCAGATTTACAACTTGCAAGGTTTTTAAACTGCCAAGAATTCCTAGAAAAGAGGACAGAGGAATCCTACAGAGATAACTTTCATCCTATAGGTGAACAGTATAGTGATTTATCAGTTTCCTGTTTTCAGCACCTATGCCACAAGGTCTGTGACTTTCTACTGAATTCTGAACTCTGAAGTACAAGAGAATTGTCAAATATAGTATCAAGTATAAGATACACAGGAAATAATAGTATCTCTGGCAAGGGTGTTGACTATACGTTATTATAAACATTTAATTAAAATTGGACTGATTGTGAGAAACCTAACAAAAAACTAAGGTCGAGTCCCCCATTATCGCCTAAGAGTTTTGAAACCAACAGATTTAGCAACATCCCTCATGTGTATATGTGTGTATACATGTGTGTTTGTGTATGCATGTGTGTACACAAGCACAGATACATATTCTGGAAGACAGGCCACCACTTTTGTGTGGTTTAGAAAGATACCCTCTCTGGGCTTACACATTAGAAAAAAGCACCCCCTCTGAGTGGACAAATTAGAAAAAGTTGTCCTCTTGGGTATATAAATTAGAAAAGGGTCTTTCTTTTTAGTCCCAAAGAGTAGCTGGCACATTTCTGTGAAGAAATGGCACCCTGGCCTCTGGGCAGATGCAGTCTGGAGCCAGAGTGCACAGCCCTGCAGTATGCATACCACACAACCTTAAATGGAAGTCCTCCTAGGAAAAAAAATGACTCTGGTAGAAATACACGGTTCCAAGAAGGATCAGGGTACCTGGATATATTTATTAAATTTAATTATAGGTCTGAACTTACTTAGACTGATCTCTGCATCTTTCAGAGGTCTAAAGATCTGAGCGACTTGCCCAAGCAGAGCCCAAAGCACCTGAATTATATACTTTAAGCTACGTTGTGAATTCATGTAAAAAACTATGACAGCCTATGTGAAGTACCTAGCTTGATACCTGGTGTATAGTAAATTTCAACAAATGTTAGTTTCCCAAACCTTTCCCTTTTTGTAAAGTCTTTTTTTGTAAACTGAATCATGATTTTAACTGAGTAATCAATTGCACATGTGACTACATTATGCTTCTAGAAATATTTTGCCTTGATAATTGATGCATTGAAAATATTTAGTGGCTTACAACACTTTAAGTTGGAGTGTCCCTTGCCTATCAGTTAGTCGTTGAATATTTTAAATAAGCAAGCATTTAAATACACCAGAGCCATGCCATGTCCTATTTTGTTTGTAAGTGTAATAGTTACTCCTTAGTTATCTACTGACAAGTCAGATTTTTGTGTTTAAGGCTTTATGTCATCTCAGGAGGGTCACTTATAAATGATTCTTTTATAGAGTTCCATCTTCTTTTTCACTTTATTTTAATCACATTCACCTCCGCCTCAGTCCCTGTCTTGAGCTCCAACTGTGGAGGCAGAAATAAAACATTCCTGAATTATATTGTGAAATATAGAAATGTAGCTTTATATTCCACATATATGTAAATATTTATAAATTATTTAATATTAAAGAACATGTATTTGAATATTCTCTGTTTTGAAAGGGCAGGCTGCTCTTTGTTGAATCCAATTCTACCAGTATTTCTCTAGATTTATTAATTATCTAACAGTGGGATCAAGTTCTTATAAATATAATCAACAACAGTGTTTTTATTTTCTTCCTTTAGGAAATCGAAAGGACAAAAATAGATGCTGAAAATGACAAGGAATGGCTGTTGTACATTCAGAAACTTCTTGAAGGACAGGTATTTAATTTTTCTACTCCATGTATTAAAACTTGCAGATAAAAATTCCAAGCCATACTTTTTTACTAGATGCCTAACTTTTTATAAATACTTATGCATTATTTAGTCCTGTTAGGTAAAGAAGTATTCCAATAGGTAGACAGGGAAGTTAACCCTCTGTTTGTACTTCTGGACTTAACAAATGAAACAAATGCCTTGGGAAAGAGCCAACATGGGTCTTAGCAAATGCATTAATTAAATTATTGAGTCAACCTCTATGCTTGCTAGACAGAAAAGGATCCATTCTCTCAGCCCTCTTAGGAAAAGAGATTCTTTATTATGTGTCTTTAAAGTTAGTAGTTGATATGGACACCTGAGGAGTTCATGGGTTTCAGTGACCTTTTACTATGGACCTGTTTCCAGTCAATTCATGTTTTCCTCACAGCCAGACAGCTGTTTATTACTGTGTCTTCCCGCATTCTCTACAATATTTTCTACTGAGACCTCGAGCAGCTTGTTAGTGGGAAGTAAATATTGATTTGGCATCCTGTCAATGCAGAAAGAATGAAAAAATTTCCACCAGAGGCCCCTCAAACATTTTCCTATCGACATTTTCTGGGCCGAGTGGAAAGCTGCATAGAGGATGACAAGGCCAAGACAAGCTGAAATCCCTGAGGGGTCTATTGAGACTGCTGCTGTGACCTGTGTGATACTTTTTCTTCCCTTTCAAGTATTTTTTTAATACACATATAGTCTGCGGGGATGTGCCCCTCTTGTAAGTGATCAGGGCAGTTTATTGGCAGGTGAGAGCCCTGCTTTTCTAGTCATAGCCAGCTTTTGTTTTGATATCACTGACAGCATGTAATGTATTCTAAAACTTTTTCATTATAGTTCTTTTTGCTCGGCCTAATTGTTGTCTATTTCACAAATGAACTGGATTAAGAACAGCTAAGACATACTTCCTGAAATAGCAAAAAAATTATTTTTGTTCCTTGAGTGCAGTCTCTTATGTTTTTGGAGAAATCAAGAAAAAGTAAATTATATATGAACTATTGATATTCTTAGTATCTGTTCTACATATTTTTGAAACATTATCTAGAAATGCTGTTATTGTTACTATCAATAGTAATGGAAGGTGATTGACTCTCTTTTACTTAGCGTAGTTTAAGTGTAGATGTGTAGGTGCTGGGCAGAGTCTTCCTGCTTTTGAGAAGAAAGGCCATTTCTCAATCATGTTGCATTCCCAGCATCTAGCCAGGTGCCTGGCACACCAAAGGAGTTCAGTAATGATAGTTACGGTGTTTTTTTTAAGCTTAAAAGTTATAAAAATAAACTTAATGATTTTTTTAACATTCAACTTAGGAATATGACCTTTTAATATGGAAATCTTACCAATTATGAACATAAAAATAAATCAATATGTATAAATCTTTATTAAATTTCATTAAAGCTATATTGACACCAGGTCTAATTTTATAACTTTACACATGTAGATACACATACATACATTCTACATTATCTGGATGTATGCTTATTCTGCCCAGTTAGTGTAAAAACAAATCCGGTTGAAAATTGGCATTAGACCACTTAATACTGTATTTTGATATAGTGCCTTTTTGTGCCACTGAGCCTGGACTCTGGAATATAATTGCCTGGCAGTATTGATTTAATTGCCCAGGTTTATTTGTGGACTCCTAATTATTGACTGGAGCTAAATTTAATGGAGCAGCCTTTATGAACAGTGGGAGACCGCTGCTGTTACTGTTATACATAATGAACTGCATCATGTGCCTTTAGATCATTTTTCAAGCTAATTTTATTCCACTGTGACAGTATGATAACATTTAAAAAGTCAAAGACGTTTTATTTTTATTACTGACGTAGGTGGTTTTGCTGATGTCTTTGAATTTTGCGAGAAAAAAAATAGGGACTTCATTGGTTGTACTTGAATGTCACTTTATAATTACGCCCAAGAGAAAAATCTATAAAATAGAAAACATCTTTTTTTTTAAGCCTACTTTTCTTCTCTCTCAATCCTAGCAATTATATTTGTCCTGAATTTTAGAACATGTTTTCTTTGTCCACCAATTTTTTTGACTAAGTTATGCTCACAAGATTGTGTGGGCAAAAGTATAAATGTGCTTATTCATTCACTGCATTTTGTTTATGGCATACAGCTCCGTGTACATGATCTTGAGGTTACATGATCTTGAAGCTGTGGAATAATTGAATACATTTCCTGAAAAAAAAACCAATTAATTCAATATTGATATTTGATTATTAAAATATTTTGCAGATAAAATTATAAGGGCACTTCCCTTTTATGTCCTCCCTCTGTGTCAGGTGCTGTACATGCTAGAATTCTGACGTCACAGGAGTGAATCTGGCCCTGTGGTTTTATCTTTTGTTTAAGAATCAGGACATAGAACTATTTTCGGTTAAAGAAAAATTTCTCTGCATCCATTTGATTAAAATTTATATTGATAAAATATTTACCACAAAATAAAAAGCTATTCTGCCATGTGGCAATATGGGACTACACAATAATATAATACCAACTGCTACTGTTGTTACCCCAGAAGTGCGTGAGAACTAAAAGGTCTAAAAACGTAACTTATCTATAGTTAACACAGAAGGCAAATGTATGTCCTCCTTATTTTAAGTAGTCCTGATGCAATTGGAAATTTTAAGTATTTGGTCTTTATTTACACCTAACTTTTGTCCCCACAGATTTCTAGGAATAAGATTCACACTGAAAAAAACAATCCTAACGTCTACTCTCATTTTTTAAAACATAGCTGCCTTTTAATTTTCTTTGAACATTTTTACTTGTATTAATTCCTCTTTTTACATTATTACAATTTTTAAACTTATACTTTATGGCAGAGGCAAACAAGCAGATTAATGATTATGACAGGATCATGGAGATGGATAATAGGACGGGAGAACCTCCCAAAATCAGTTTTTCTGTATTTTAGGAAGTGGGAGGGGGAAAAAAATAGGAAAAGGAGTCTGGTGCTAAACTATAAAAGCTTTTGAGTAGGAAAGGGATGTAGTCAGAGTAGTGCTTTAGAAAGATACGTGAGATTAGCTTGTAGGATGGTTTGGAGGGAGAAGAGACTGGGAGCAAGAAGGTAGTTTAGGGAAAGGGCAGTGGATGGTGCTTAGGCCCTAGCCATACAAATAGGAAGAATGAGATGTGACCCACTTTATAGTGACTGAATCCATAGCAGTACTGAGATGAGAGGAAGGAGTCAGAAAGCAGAAACCAAAGACGAGTAAGTTTACTACCTTGTATGATGAGAAAGATGATGTTACCTTTAAGAGTTTAAGGGATCTAAAGAGGTAGCTCAGATCTGGTAGAGAGAAGATGACAATGATCGAAGCCTTAAAAAATTTAGTAGGTACATTTCAAAAACAATATTCAGGGACTCACAGTTTTTCATTAATTCATCCCAACCTTCTGTCTGGCTTTTCTCATTGAAATTTAACCATTTAAGGACACATTTCAAACTCTTACAACTCAACACCAACAACAAAAAGAAGCTGATTAGATTGACACAACATTGTAAAAATGATTATAAATCAATAAAAAATGTTCATAAAAAGAAACTGATTAGAATAGCCATTTCTATAAGAAGATACACAAATAGCCATTTTCCCGTAGTCACAAGAAAATACACTCAACATCATTAGCCATTAGGGGAGTGCAAGCCAAAAACCAAAATGAGATACTACTTCACATCCAGTAGAATGACTATAATTAAAAAGACAGACAATGTCAAGTGTTAGTGAGGATATGGAGAAATTAGAACCCTCATACATTGTTGGTAAGAATGTAAAATGGTGCCAACTCTGTGGAAAATAGTCTGGCAGTTCATCAAAAAGTTAAAAATAGAGATTATATCATCCAGCAGTTCCACCCCATGTATACACTCAGGATAAGTGAAAACAAATGTCCATATAAAAATTTCTACATGAATGTTTGTAGCATTTCAATAATAGTTCAGTAATAACTCAAAAGTGGAAGGAACACAAAGGCACATTAACTGATGAATGGATTAAAAATGTGGTATATGCATACATGGAATATTATTCAGCCATAAAATATTCCTCACCATTAGCAGAGATGGTGTTAAATGCATTTGAATTTGAATTTCTGTCTACTGGCCATACTATTAATAAATGAGACAGATTTTTTTTTAATACTTAATGTATTTCTTTTAAGTTGGCACAGGAGATGTCCCTCTATCATGCTCTAATTGATACTACTTTCTCATATATCCAAACAAGAAAGGAGTCAGTTATTTATACTCTGCACTCTAAGAAACATTGCTTATTGTTGTATCCATTCTGACCCTCAGAATTAAAATTACAATAAAGGTCATTTAGTTTTGTTGCCAGGGCTTAATAATACCTGAAACAGTCCTTTGTACTTGTGAGTTTGTAAAGGTGTAGTGCAGATAAAATCAAACCCAAGCTATGGAATCCATTTTAAAAACATGTATTGAGTGTCTGCTGCATGTAACGTAATGTTTTAGGCTTGTAGGTGCAGCAGTGAACAGGGAGAGAAATCCCTGTCTTCATGGAGCTTACATTTCTGGTGATGGAAGACAGTAAACAAATAGTTAAAATATATAAACTAAAATTTGGAGAGAAATCCCTGTCTTCATGGAGCTTACATTTCTGGTGATGGAGGACAGTAAACAAATAGTTAAAATATATAAACTAAAATTTGCTAAATGACTAACTTGAACAGAATTATGGGTATGTATATTAAAATATATATACTTGTATAAAACAAATAACACAGTTATAACCACAGTACAGTTCTATACTAGTATGTGTATAAAAACTTTTAGCCAGGAATAGCTAGAAAATGTGTCTTGATTTTGTTTTGTTGTTGTCATAGTCTTTGTTATTTGTTAATCCTTTCCTGGATATCATTCAGTTCATTTTAGTCCTCTTTGTATGGATCATTTTCTTAAATTGAGACCATATCAAAAATTCCATCTTTCTGTCTTCAGTTGTTGATAATTGAAAGTACAGATTTTGATCAGTGATTTTTCTTTAGTTTTAAATATCCCTGTTACTATTAGTTGCTTCAGATCTTGCAAAAGCTGAAATTTAAAAGGGCTCTTTCCCTAGTGCCCTCTCAGCAAAATATGCTTCCCTTCTATAGAATGCCTTGCAATATGGCAGTGAGAAGATTTTATAAACCTCCCTGGCTTCTGTAAATAGAGTAACTTTCGGCCTGAAAGTTAACTGAAAGTTACTCTTTACAACTCTGAAGATATTTGACTCTGTTGCTTTCAGTGTTGCACTTACAACACACTTAAAACATGCACATACAGGCATCTCCCACACTCACTCTCTCCACACACAGAAACCCACACTCAGGCACCCACACAGACTCACTCTTCACATGTAGCTGAAGTAGCAAGAGTTGAAAATTCTCTGTTCAGAGCCTTGTTCAGATTTTTTTGTAATTTAACAATTTCAAGCCTACTTTCATGACACCGGGAAAAGACGTATGTCATTAAAGTTAAAAGGTAAATTTTATGTTATGTATATTTTACCACTATGAAGAAAACTGGGGACAAATGAAAAGGAAAACAAATCATAGTCTTTACCAAAGCTTCAGGATAGCAAATACAGACTTTATATTCAGCAGAACTCCAAGATAGGTAGTAGGTAGGTAGGTAGGTAGATAGATAGATAGATAGATAGATAGATAATGTGCCAGAAATATAAACATGTAGGAAACTTAGCTCAAAATTCAATGCCAAATTTGAATTATAAATAAATTGTTCCTCTGATAGCATGCTTGGTTATTTTAACAAATTCGATCTTTTAATTACAAGATAATAGAGTGAATGTATAAATATTTATTTATTTATACCAAATTTTGCACCTTTGATTTTATAATAATCAAACTACATTGGTCATTCTTACTAAACCTTCAAAATCTCACTGGATCATATCCTTTGTAAAGGCAGGGATAATACGTAAAGGTTAACATCTTCACTTTCAATATGACTCAGCCAGATTAAAGTCCATTTTTATCTTAAAAGCAGTATCTTTTTGGTAACAGTTTTCAAACCAGAAACAAGAATGAAAATGGTTAAAATGTTAATCTTGTCCTTTAGATTTATTTATTTCATTTTTTTCAACACAAAAAAACTTCAATTTTATATTATCCAGTTAGTGATGATGCTGTAAATCATCTGTATGTTTCACAGCTATGGACTTGAGGCTTCGTTATCCTTCCGAGGTAGCTCTCCAACATCTGCAAACATCATTCATATCTTACCTGTATACAGAAACACCTCTAAACAAAGCTGTAATTTATAAGTGTGAGTGATAAATTTGAGATTGTATCAGTGGCATACTGCTTCCTAAAGGCAAACAGCTGTAGGCATTTACACGTAAGAGAAGCCTAAATTCCATGTGAATTCAGGGGAAGTCTCTCCAGGAAGAGAAATCACCTTTTCCAATGGGGACAGCAGAAGAACCAGGAAGACCCACATTAAGACTATAGCATAGACCAAGCAAAACTCACAGTTGTTCCAATGTCCTAATTAAATTTCCATACCAGGAAATCTCAAGCAGTATCAGCTCTTCCCATGTCCCTTTTTCTCCTTGTGCTGAAGAGTTGAGGTTTTTATAATTCTGTAGTGGCATTGCTAAGAGTACCACTTCTTTTTTATGCAAGAAAAATAAAGAAATTATGCAGAAAGTCCAGCAGAGCTTCTGGACTTTTGGACTTTGTAGGCCCTGGCACATGCCATCTGAGATGAAACCCGAGGCAGTGTGATTTTGGGGTGTGTTGTTTCAAATATATCTGATGAGGCAAGTGAGAAAATAACTTTGCTGTTGGCTAGTAAGTTTGCTACTTCAATCCAAATCCAAAATCCTGTCAGTAAAAGAATGGTTGTCCTTTCTTTCTGTATCTGAGGGAGTTTTCGGGGTATCTCAGCTCCCTCTGGAATGCATATAAAGAGAAGTGAATAGGCTCTAAGCCGCCTGTATGAAATGAACTTCCGCTTAATCTAGACTCCAAAGTCTTTTTGTCTAATATTACATAAAGACAGATACTAATATTTTTCTGACCTATTTGTAGAGAAAAATAGAAGAATCTACAAGGTCAGATGGATATGTGCACAAATTGTGCTTCTTGAATAAAGGATTCATTGCTTTTTGAAATCCATGATGTGTTAGCCTCTATACAAAGCTTAAAAGAAGCTTACAATCCAATAAAAAGGGATTGACAAACAGTTGTGTTTAACTGTGGGGCTTTTTGTTTTATTGGGAGCCAGAGGAAGAGAATAAAAGAGGTTGTCAGCAATAAGTTAGTAAATGGACCTCTTGTTCCACCTTGGAGGCTTCCTAGAAGAGAGATTCTTTGAAATAGATTTTTTTTTTTTAGAGAGAAGCAAAAAGTCCAAGTACATGACATGCTGAAAATTGTTCAGATCACAAGATAATAAGAGTTGGTTTAGATTTTAACTTGAAAATGAAATGTGTAAATAAGATGATTAATGTCAGTTACATTGTGACCTGGTAAAAGTGCTGTGACATTATTACAAAGGAAATCATACAGCCATTATGTTTCCCAAAGTGTGTTCCATGGACCACTAGTTCCACATGATAAATAGACTGAGAAAATCATGGACAAATGAATATAAAATCAGGGTATTACATTGCCCTCTTGGAGAAACATGGTGCTTCTCTAAAAGATCTGAAATAAAATGACATTTTAAAGTCTGGTTTGTTTCCCAAAGTTATTTGATAAGAGAATCATTTTTTTCTTAGAACTTCTTTAGGAAATGATCTTTAAGCACTCATTTTTCTTTTGTTTCTACCAGGAAGAGATAGGAGGTTATTCTCATCTTGTTTGTTTCCTTTTTTGATTTGAATGCATATGGTATTGAGTACCAGAGTCGAAAGAAAGTTACCTGGTAATTTTGCCTTTGTGTGTGTGTGTGTGTGTGTGTGCTTATATATTTCTTTAACATCTTATATTAATGCCCTGAGAATTTAAATTATCTCATTTGTAAGACTGGCAGTTTCACCAAATATAACTCTTCTGCATCCCAGAAGGGCAATTTTGTCAAAATAAGAATTTGCTCTATATATTATCTTCCAGAATGGAATCTAACATATTCCTTTTCTTTGATTCTAAGATGCATTTTCCCCCATTTTCACATTTTTGAAATTGAAATGCATGTGCAGTATGTGTATATTTAATGTGATAGGTTTTTTTTCCCCTGAAAAAGCTGTTCTTAAGTCAGTGTGTCTATCTTCTATTCACCTGTATGTTAGGAACTGAAGAAATGTCATATTTTGGTATCTTATTCTTTCTTTAGTGGTGAGTTTCATGTAAGGCAAATGTGTGAATCCCCTAACGTAGACTAGGCTATAGGTATAGTCTGTCCTGACATAGACTCAGAGTATCTTAAGAATAAGGCAGTTTATTATAAAGAAAAGAAGGAAGTTAACCTAGAAAACTATTTAGAATCAGAGGCAATTCCATGGACCTGCTTTAGTCTCTATTTTTAATTCATGGCCTATATAATAATCTATTTTATGCCTATCTGGCGTGTTGTTTCATTGCTGCTGGCCAGTCTTTTCTCTTTTTCCCAGTTCGAATTCAGAAAAGAACCATTTTGCTGGATTTAGCTAATTGTAATCACCTTAGCTGAGCACAGCAGAGCGACTCACACAGCAGGCATCAGGCTGGCTTTGGTCAGATACTGACCAGTGATGCTGCCGGTGGTTTCCTAGCACAGAAAAGGGCCTGATGCTACATCCCTGGAGGGAAGGGGCTGGGCTTGATAAGGATTCTCATTAATACATTCAAGGAGACAAAAGTACTCTTTCCTGGTTAATCAAAAGGACAGCTCCGAGAAATGACTTAATGAACTTCTTGATTGTTATCAACCTCTATGTGAGACTAGATAGCTGGGAAGGAGGATGAAAGGAAGTTGGTGAGTTGGTTAGGCTAAGGGAGTCACGGGGGAACGTTTCAGGTTTTCTTTTACTTACAACCCATAAGTGTGTTGTGTGAGTTGGAATCCTACAGGCCACCCAGTGAAGCACAGGGAACAATGAAACTACCAGAAAAGTTATATAAATTATGAAATTTTAAAATGTGCTCTACATTTCATAAACTCAGCACTTTGCAACATGTGTATTACACTTTGATATGCGAAACAAACTTTTCTGTAACAACTTAATCAATGGGTATATTTTTGCCATTTTTTTCTCTGAAATTTTACCCTACAGTTCTTGAGATGTTCAGTTCTAATGCAGACAAGTGTATTGATAGTTCTCTCTCATTCGTTTATGAGTGATGAACATACAGTATGACTTCTGTGGGCCTGTGGGCCCTAGAGATGACTGTAACCTGCTATTGATCAGCTGATTGAAGATAAATGGCTTAGCTGCTTGTATTGCAGATTACAACATTAACATGGTCAGTAAACCATGAATTGTTCAATAAGGCATTTATCTTTTTTCATTTTACTTCTGCTCTTTTATCATTTTTATTATAAAAGACAAAATTACCCACACTAACCAGCAAGATCAGTTGAAAAAGAGACCCAGTAGGGTAGCAGTATGGGTGCAGATTTGCAGATAGCTGAATTCTAATGGTTTAATGATATTTAGTATGTTTTTAAACTGAAGAAAATGTACAGTTTTGATCATCCTTTTTTCTGTGTTTCTTTTGCAGCTTCCTTTTGCCACATATTTACTAGAAGCAATACTGGAGAAAATAAATGAAAAAAAGAGACTAGTTGAAGGATATTTTGCAATTATGAAAGATACGAGATGATATTATGATTGAGACCTTTTTTTTCAAATGTGAGAACTTTTTATGTGTTGTGATTGGAAAACATGCATTGCAATCCTGATACAGTATCTGCTCCAACTATCAATAGTTCAGTTCAATATCAAAATAAGAAGTCTCTGAAACAAATTAATTGCTGAACAAGTGAAACTAATTAAGTGCATAGCCATTTAAAAGGAAATAGTGTAGCATTTGATTGTTGAATACAAATATTGCCACAAATCAATGCAACTTTAAAATGATTTTCCTTCCAGTATATTAGAAGAAATTAGAACAAGCTTGGCACACACAAATTAGTCTGAACATAAAAAGAAAAAAGTATAAACTGAGCACTTAGTGTTTTAAGTTTTATTAAGAAACTATACTTTTTACATAAAATTGCTATAAATGGCCTTAAATCAGCCAGTGAACAATAAATTTGTACCCTAGGCAAATATAAAAGGAAGCTTTATAACTTAAGATGAGCATTTAATGAAGTAAATGATGTGGTCCAATTGTCTCTGTTCTCAGTCTACTGGATTACATAGGAGATACTGTATTTTCTTAGAACAGTTTGGCAAAAATAAAAACATCGTCTCCTTTGCTCTCTCTTTTTTTTTTAAATTCACAGTTCTTTGTGTGGTTATACAAATTAGCAAGGGACCACAAATCCGTGTATTAATTAGGCTGGTCCTAGCAGTCCACTGATTAGATTAAAGTTGAATTCTTAACAGTGATATCATCCTTATTTAGATTCCCAAAACTTCCCTTTCCCGTCTTTGCTATGTTCCTAACTCCTGACTTTTTGGTTCCTCCAGTTCACCCAACTTGTGCCTGCCTCCAGCTTTAAGCCTTGCTACTCTCTTTCTGCAATAGTCTGGACTCAGCTTTTCTCTTGTCTGCCTCCTGCTCTTCATTCAGGTTTGCCTTATTTACTTCCTCAGAGACACATTCCCTGGCCATCTTGCTTTTTAACTTCCTTTTTAGCACAGAAGTATATATTTCACCTGTCCACTTTTTTATTTTCTTGTTCTTCCCCCTAACCCCGCCTGCTTTAGAATATAGGTCCATGAGGATAAGGTGGGGTTGGCAAATTCTGGCCCACAGGCCAAGTCTGGGCTGCCACCTGTTTTTTTGTGGCCTATAGTAAGCTAAGAATGGTTTTTACATTATCAAATGGTTAAAAAATTCAAAAGAAGAATATTATTTTGTAACATGTGAAAGTTATGAAATTCAAACTTTAGTATCCATTAATAAAGTTTTATTGGAACACAGAAATGCTCATTCATTTACATATTGTTTATAGCTGCTCTCGCACTACAGTAATGTGGGTGAGTAGTTGCAGCAGAGACCATATGTAGTGCTGTCACCACTTTGCACGGCTCCTAGGCACACTGCAAAATCACAGTGACATAGTTACAACTTGACAGTATTTCAAGTGCCACAATTACAACCATACTGAAAAAATGTTTTAAAGCAGTGCATATCCATCACGTAGAGACAAGAAAAATGGCTATCGGATGTCACACTTTTAAGGCATAGTGAAGTGTGGATTATTTTGCTATTGAACTCAATGGCAAAGCATTATGTTTATTATGTAATGACATAGCTATGCTAAAAGAATTCAGTACATACATTATCAGACTAAGTACTCATCACAGTATTCCCAACTCACAGTAAAGCAACAATAAGAAAAAAATTACAAAATTTAATACGTAATACCACAGCAGAATTTTGTTACAAAAATTAAAATGAGATAGCGTAGTGTTACCCTGATACCAAAATTAAACAAAGGCAGCACAAAGAAATAGACTGTGGCTAAATAGACTGTAGGCTAAAAAATGGCCCTTAAAGATGTCCACCTCTTAATCCCTAAAACCTGTGAATTTTTACCTTGTATAGCAAAAGGGACTTTGCAAATCTGAGTAAATTAAGAACCTTGACTGGGGAGATTATCCTGGATTATTTTTGGACCTAATGCCTTCTAAGAAGGAGACAAGAGAAGACAGAGACCAATGTTACTGCAGAAGCAGAGATGCAGAAGTTTAGAGGCTCTACTTTGTTAGCTGTATGTATGGAGGAAGAGTGCCATGACCCAAAGAATATAGATAGCTCCTGGAGAATGCAGAAAGCAAAGAAATGGGCTGTCCTCTAGAGCCTCCAGAAAGAACCAACTTCATTGACACCTTGACTTTAGCTTAGTGAAACCAATTTTGCATACCCAGAACTGGAAGATACTAAATCTAGTGCTGTTTTAAGCTACTAAGTTTGTGGTAATTTGTGACTACAGCAATAGAAAACTTACTCAATTTGCTTATGTTCTGTTTGGAATTTTTATATCTGTGTTCTCAAGTGATACTGGCCAGAAGATACAAGATCTAGGCTGGTTCAGTTTTCAGAAATCAATCAATGTACACCACCATTTTAACAGGCTAAAGAAGAAATATCATACAATCATAAAACTTTTAAGAAAGCATTTGAAAAATTCAACATCCATACATGAAAAAAAAACCAGCTCAGAAAACTGGGAATGTTCTCAAATTGATTGGAACATCTACAAGAACCTACATCTAAGCCTACGTTAAACTTAATGATGGAATATTGAACACTTTCCCTTAAGATCAGGAACAAGACAAGGATGTCCACTCTCATCACTCTAATTCAACATAATATTGAAAATTCTAGCCAGCACAGTAAGGCAAGAAAAGGAAATAAAAAGCTTACAGATTGGAAAGAAAAAGTAAAGCTATCTCTGAAAAAATAAACCAACCCTCCCAGAATTAATGTGACTTCAGCAAGGCAGCAAGGTCTGAAAATACAAGAGCAACATGTAAAAATAAACTGTATATCTATGCACTAGTAAACTAGTAAAAAATATGTGGAAACCGAAATTTAAAATACAATAAAATTGACAACTGCTCAAAAGAAAAAGGAGAGGAATACTTAGGTGTAAATCTAATAAAGTTTGCATAAGAATTCTGTACTGAAAACTACAAGCGCTGGTGAGAGAACTCAAAGGAGATTAAATAAATGTGGAGAAATACGGGAGCAAGGATTGGGATACTCTGCATAGCAAAGACATCAATTGTCTGCAACTTTATATACAGGTTTACCACAATTCCTATGAACGTCACAGCAAACTGTTTTGAAGATAGAGACAAGATTCTTCTAAAATTTGTGTGGAAAGACAAAGTGTTTTAAATGGGAGAAATTACTCTACCCAATTTCAAGATGTATTACATAGCTGCACTTATCAAGAGTGTGTGGTATTGGCAGAGGGACAGACACATAGATCAGTGGAACAGAATAGAGAGCCAAAAGATACACCCTTGCAAATATGCCCAAATGATTTTAAATAAAGGTTCAAAAACAATTCAATGGAGTCAGGATAGTCTCTCAACAAATGATACTGAAAGAATTGGAAATCCATACATAAAAAAAAGAACCTAAACTTGACACTTCAGACACAAATTATCTCAAAATGAATCATACATTTAAATGTAAAATATAAAAGATAAGAGAAAATCTTCAGAATCCAAGACTTGGTGAAGACTTTCTACATATAACACCAAAAGCATAATGCATGCACAAAAGAGAAACTGGCAAATTTGACTTCATCAAAATTAAAAAACTCTTGCTCTGGGAATAGACAAGTTAGTTAGACAAGATAGAATAGACAAGATAGTTATTTTTTTTTATGTCAAATTGACTGTTTCACAGTGCCAGTTGTGTGGTCAAACATTCTGGATTTTTCTATAAGTGTGGGGTTTTTTATGAAATTAACATTTAAATCAGTGGAATTTGCATAAAGCACATTGCCCTCCATAATGGAGATGGGCCTCACCCAATCAGTTGAAAGCCTAAGCAGAACAAAAGACTGACTTTCTCCAAGCAAAGGAGAATTCTGCCAGCGGACAGCATTTGGATTTGAATTGCAACATTGGCTCTTCCTGGTTCCAGCCTGCCAGCCCACCTTGCAGATTTTAGACTTGTCATTATAATTGCATGAACCAATTCCTTAAAGCAAATTATATGTATATAATAATATGTGTATAACACATATATCCTATTGGTTTTGTTTCTCTGGATAACCCTGGGTAATATACCAGATTTTGGCTATTTCACATAAAGTTACTACAAACATTTATGCACGGGTGTGTGTTTTGTTTTTGTGTATATATATATATATATATGTTAATTGAGGTATAGTCAGTTTACAATCTTGTGTTAATTTCTGATGTACAGCATAATGCTTCAGTCATACATGAACATATGTATATTCATTTTCATATGCTTTTCACTATAAGTTAATATAAGATACTGAATTTAGTTCTCTGTGCTATACATATGAACTTGTTTATCTATTTTATATAGTTAGTATCTGCAAATCTCAAACTCCCAATTTATCCCTTCCCACCCCCTTCCCCCTGGTAACTATAAGGTTGTTTTCTATGTCTATGAGTCTGTTTCTGTTTTGTAGATAAGTTTGTCCTTTTTTTTTTTAAGATTCCACATATAAGTGATATCATATGGTATTTTTCTTTCTTTTTGGCTTACTTCACTTAGAATGACAATCTCCAGGTCCATCCATACTGCTGCAAATGGCTTTATTTTAATTATGTTTTATGCCTGAGTAGTATTCCATTGTATAAATATACCACAACTTCTTTATCCAGTCCTCTGTTGATGGACATTTAGGTTGTTTCCATATCTTGGCTGTTGTAAGTAGTGCTGCTGTGAACACTGGGGTGCATGTATCTTTTTAAATTAAGCTTCCCTCTGGATATATGCCCAGGAGTGGGATTGCTGGATCATATGGTAAGTCAAATCTAGTTTTAGTCTTTTGAGGAATCTCCATGCTGTTTTCCATAATAGCTGCACCAACCTACATTCTCACCAACAGTGTAGGAGGGTTCTCTTTTCTCCATAGCCTCTCCCGCATTTATTATTTGTGGACTTTTGAATGATGGCCATTCTGACTGGTGTGAGGTGATACCTCACATGCATGGGTTTTTGTATGAACAAAATTTTTATTTTTATAGAATGAATACCCACAGGTGTGATTGTTGGGTAGTGCGGTAAGTGTGTTTAACCTGGTAAGAAACTGCAAAATGTGTTCTAGAGTGGCTATACCATTTCACAGACTCACTGACAATGTCAGAGAGATCATGTTGGTCTGCATCCTCCTGAGGACTTGATACTGTTAGTATTTTTTAATTTTCGCCATTGTAATAGGCATATAGTGGTGATATTTTTTTTAATTCTGTTCTCTCCCTGATCATATTAAAATTATCATTTTTTTGTTTTTTTCTGTCTCCAAAATCTGCATTTGTGGTCTTTTCAGAAAACATTGACTGGTGGGAACAGGGTAATTGGGGCTAGATGGGTAACAATTCTTTTCCAGACCATTTATCTGAAAAAGGAATTCCAAGTAATCACCTTGGATTTTACAAGGAATTTCTAAAATGCAGATCTACTTATCTATTGCTTCAGAACAAATTACCCTAAAACTTAGTGGCCTAAAGCAACAATATTTATTGGGGCCAGTTTTTGTGTGTCAGGAGACTGAGCACAACTGAACTGGGTTCTCTTGACCCTGAGACTCTGAGAAGGCTGCAGGCACATCAAAGCTTGATCAGAAGGATCAGAAGCTCACTTGGTATTTGTCAGGAATCAGTTCTTTGCAGGACGTTGGACTGAGGTTTCTGCTAGCTATTGGCTAGAGGCTGCCCTTAGTTCTTTGCCACGTGGGTCTCCTCAGTATGGCAACCTGCTTCATCTGTCTCTCTCTCTCTCTCTCTCTCTCTTTCACACACACACACACACTCGCAGGGAATTACCAAGAATATGAGTAACAGGAGAACATTAGGAACCATTTCAGGAGCTGCCTACCACAGCAGCTGTTTAGGTTTGACAATCTGGATGAAGCAGAGGATGCTGGAGAATTTACTTTTGGAGCTTCTTTCAAGGTAAGCATAGATTTTACTTAGAATGGTTATTTATTTGTGGTGGTTTGGGGATGGAAGATGGATGGAGCTTATGGGTTGTAAAATTACAAATACCTCTTGGCACCAACACCATAAGATATAAAGAAAAGGAACCCTCTCCACCAAGAGTGGGGTCCATCATTTAAAAATGCTTAACAGAAGGAGTCAAGGAGGTAGTTAATTCTCACCTTTATGCTTGAGAGCAAGAGGCTGGGACACCATAATTAGTCTTCCACAGCAAAGAAGATAAAACCAGTATCAGAAATCGACAAATTTGGAAGACCAGGTGAGTCCATTCTATGGTCCTTTCTCAGATTTGAACTGTAGAGACATTGTTGGGAAGTGGAAGGAGATTAAGAAAATGTTAGAAATGTAAGACCAAAGTAGAACAAAGCTTGGGCTCTTCAAATCTGCTGTACCATGCAAGGGGCTTTGGGAGGCCTCCTAACAAATTAAACTGGGAATTAAGGAATTGTTTTCAAAACATATGTGTGTACAATAAATATATTCATATTACCAAAAGGAAACACCAAAATCTTGTAAGATTTATTATCTCTGGAGAGGACTAGAGGGTCTGTGCTAGGAGACAGACTTGCTTGTATATTCTTTTATACTGTTTCAGTGTGTTCCCATGGACGTGTATTTCTCATTAAATTTAAAAATAGTCTCTAAAAACTCTTTTAAACTATCCCTGAAGCAAAGATAAAGAAAATGGAAAATTATTTATAAAGTAATGAACATGAAAACACCTTTTATCAAAAAAAGTATGGATGATAGCTAAATCTGTATTCAAAAGAAAATGGATAATTCATAAAGTTATTTTTTTAAATGGACTGAAAATACACTAAACATGCTACTTAACAAATAATAAACTAAAACAAAATAAACCTAAAGAGTGTAAGAAGAAAGAATTCACAAAGTTAATTAAAAAGAAAAACAACTAAAAAGAGATAAAAGCAAAACTGATACTTTAATTAATTAACCCTGGGAAACCTAATTAAGGATAAAAGAAAAATGAAAACGTGCAACATTAGGTAGGTATTTTTAAAATTGTAAAAGAATATGTAAACTGTATGTTAATCTTAAGGAAATGTATGATTTTCCAGCAAATGTAAATAACCCAGTTTCACTTAAGTGAGAGAAGTCAAATAAGCCATTACACATAAGAGAAATTATAAACACAGTTGAAGCTCTGCCTTTCAGAAAGGCACCAGGACTGCAGATTTTATCATTGACATCTATCTAGCTTCGAAGAGCAGGTGGTTCCTGTTATTCAACTATTCACAGAAAAAGGTGAGACCCCATAGGTCATATTTATGAAGGAAGGCAGGCTAAATAATAAAGCCAGATAAATATAACTAAAAAGAGAACTAGAGACCAATATTATTTATAAGTAAATATATAAATATTCTAAGCAAAAATAGAAATTCTGATTATTCAAATCACAGTATTAATGACCATATAGATTTTATTCCAAATATAATGATTAAGAAATAATATAATTTGTTACACCAACAGAAGAAAGGAGAAAAATATTTGATATGGTACACGATAAGATTTAACAGCTTTTATATAGTAATAGTACTGACAAGTGAAAAGAAAATAGGAACTGAGAAAGGCTAATAGACCTAAAAATATTGAATCGCAAGTGGAAATAAAAAATAATCTTTACCTCTCAAAGTGGAAAAAATAAATTCAGTGCTGGTAAGAGTATATAGAAGTGAGCCCTTTCATATGTTGCTGGTAATAATGTGAATTGTTAACTTTTTGTAATGTAATTTAATGCATCTGCTAAAAATTGGCCACAAATGGCCCTATTGGGAATCTTCCCTATAGAGTAAAAGCACAAATAAAATGGGAATAAGCAGAAACAAATACTTTGTAGAGACAAAATCATCAGTGGACAAATGGTTGTCTGTCAATGGACAAGTGGTTGAACAAATTGTGGAACATCCCTATCCATGGTTGACTATTAAATAGAATGCAAAAATCTACATACATTTAATCAGGTGGAGTGACCATTTGTATATATTATATAGGATATAATTCACCTAAAATAAAATTATACAATTCAGTGGTTTTTAGTATATTCACAAGTCTATGCAACTATCACCATTATCCATTTCCAGAATATTTTTGTCACCCCCAAAAGAAACCCTGTGCACACTGGCAGTCAAAAATGCTAGAAAACTAAACTAAACTAACGACTGCCCAAAGTTGGTATATAAACACTCCAGCTCCCTTGCCCCTTCAGTGGCAAACTCTAAAGCACACATTTATACCATTTTCTGGATTTCCCCTACAGGACTGAGATCTAGTTATTCACAGTGATACGTCATGTATAATAATGCACGCTTCATTGGTTGTCTTCCCTTTTCTACTGTTTCCTGGTATTTTCTCCTTAGTAAGCTCCTTGCATTAAAATCTTCATCTTGACGTCTGTTTCTGTAAGAACCCAACTAAGAGACAGTATCAGAAATGATCTTAGGAAGTAGGTTTTCAGGAGGGGGTTCTTAAATTGTTTCCTTCACTGTCCAGATGACAGCAAAGACCCCATTGTTGTTGGTAATTGGGGATGATCCCATTTGCTGTAGTATCACAGTTACTAAGACTCTTACCTGTGGTCAACTGGGAGAGGATCTGAGTGGGAAAGGATGTACCTGAGTAAGATGTCTACTATTTGAAAGATAAAGGGACAGCAATAATTATAAAGACTCTGAAATTGTGTGGCTACTATTAAGTGCTATTGACACACTGAAGGAAGAAAACTCCAGCCTCTGGTCAGTCAATGATCAACTTGAGGCATAGTGTAAAAACCAGAAAACTTGTTTGTCAGTGTTTAAAGAGGTTTCATCTCCTGTAACCACAAGGCACACTGGGACTGAAAATTAGGTCCAGGATCTGTTTGTAACAGTGGTAAATTTACAAAAAAAAAAAAAAAAAAGCTGTGTGTGTGAATGCACAGCTCTAGCGTGTCTAATTATGTTTACTCTAATGTCCCCAACAGTTCTCCTATTCATAGTCATGGTCCTTAAGAAGAAGGAATGAGATGTTGAGGACAAAGTTGGGGACATAGATCAGAGTAAATGCAGTTGAAGTTTTAAAAATTTATTTTTATTGAGATATAATTGACATAACTGTGTAAGTTTAAGGTATACAA